ATAAACTCTCCCTCCAAGCTCCCTCTTCATAGGCCCCTGCAACGGTACATTTCTAAGGCCCCGAGTCGAGCCAGGCCTCCCACCTCTCGGTTTTTGCCCTCTGCCAGGCCGCTGTCGCCGTCACCACCACGCCGAGCGCCGCGGCACCCGCGCCGCGGCTCCCGAGCGCGCCTCGCCGACGTCGCCGCCTGCCTGCCGGCTCTCGGGAGGCCCAGAGGTTGGCACCCGTGCGGTCGGGCATAGGGGTACGAAACTGCCAGCCGAAGAGCCGGGCCAGCGTTTCTCGGAGAGACCGGTACGAATAGCCCCCACGAGGGGAAGCGGATTCCAAACAGAGTGCTGCCGGGGAAACGTTTCAGCGCTAGACGCCTTCGTTCCATCTTCGGCGGGCTGGTGGATCCGGGGCATGCGGCCTTCCAGTCAAGCGGTTGGGTGATGGTGGAGCGATGTGCGGGGAGGAAAAAAAGAATCGGAAACTGGCCGGAGCAGGTGGCCCAGCTTCTGGAACACACGTGCGGTAGGTTCGTGCCGTGTGAGCGCGGCAGCGACCCACGCCGCAGGCGTTCCAGGTTGGACGCCGCCAGTGGCCCCAAATCGGCCGTGATGGAGCGATCTGGCGATCTAGAAATCGCCGACCGTTCAAGGTTGCACGACTCACGCGGTGTCAGAAACCAGCGCCAGGGTCGGCACGACACAAGCCTGCCGTGCGTGCCTGCAGCACTCCCCAAGACAGCTGGGCCCAGGCTGGTTTCCAGACGCTTCTAGGACGCTGGCCCAGGTTTCTCAATTCGTAGTTTTAAGTCGGGCTTGTCCCTCTACAGCGGGAATGTTCAAAAATAGCAAAAACTTGCCTGGGGACTATTTTTTAAAGTATTGCTTGACCAGTTTGGAGTATCTTTTAGGCATTTTCGATGTTTCGTCGAAAATCCCCCCGTAGGGGGGCCCGCCCAACGTAATCGTAGTTCTCTGAACCATATGTTCGGCTGTAGTTTCTGACACCAGGCGGCCCGCCAAGGGTCTGGGCTTCCCGCGGCCTGGCCCGGAGGGCGTCGGGGCCCGTGCCGTCGACGACTGTTTTTTAGCAAAGTTTTTTTTTTTTTTTTTTTTTTTTTTTTGTTTTTTCTATTTTTTTTGTTCAGCCTGACTTGGGGCCTCTCTGTGCGCTCCGTACAGTCGGCCCGGATTAGTAGGTCGACCCTGCCGGCTCAAGGGCACCCTGGTGTCCTGTGCCTCGCGAAACACGGGCCTTCTTACGCTCCTGTGGCGATGTGGCCCTCGGAAGGGTCTTGTGTCCTCTCGCGTGTCCTGTCCAATCAAAAGGCCGACTGTGTGGTCAACACTTGCGTAGAGAAGGAGCCCCTGTGGCAAGGCGCCCTGGCATCCTTCGATGCTGCGCAGCCGTTGCCTGCCCTCTGCCTCCTCGGTCCGAGGGCCCTCTGGCAGCCTGGCGCGCTCCACGCGCCGTGCATGCGCACGACCACTCCTTGGTCTTCACGGTTGGCGGCTGCCACCCGGGGGAGACGCCTCGTCCAGTAGGGGGCCACATGCGAACCCTACCCCTTACCCCCCACGACTTCTGAGGGGGAGGGTGGGGTTCCCTTCCCTCGGGAGCTCCCGAGCGGAGCGAACCCCAGCCTCCCCCTCAGAAATCGTGGGGGGTAGGGGCAGGGTTCGCATGTGCCCCCCTGCAGTGGGGGAGACGCCTCGTCCAGGCCCTGCTGCGGGCAGGGTGCGGCTGTCCCCCGACGCCGCTTCGAGGCTCGTCGTCCAGCTGCCGATCCGTCCTGGCGCTCCCCGGCGCTCTGGAGCGGACGCCCTCGGGCGGCGGGCGGGGCACCACGGCAGGCGGCGCGCGCCTCCCCGGAAGGTGCGGGGCTGCGCGGGAACGACGCCCTCGCGGCCACGACGGCAGTGGGCGACGGCGACTCGATTCTGTCTAGGCCTCCTAGATGGGGTCGGAGCAGGTGGGGTCGGAGGATCGCGCCGCATCGCCGATGCATCGACGATGCGGCTCGATGCGGAGCCCGGTTTTTGTCCACGCCGATGTCGCCGACTCATCGCCGACGTCGACGATACATCGCCGATGCATCGCCGATGCATCGCCGAGACATCGGCGATGCATTGGCGATGCGGCGCGACCCTTCGACCCCATCTACTCGGACCCCATCTAGGAGGCCTCTATTCTGGTCGTGGCCGGCGTGGCCCAGATCTGGTCGGTCGCGTCATGGGATTGCTCGCACGTCCTCGTGGGCAGCGAGGCAAAGGTGTGCACGGCCACGTCCTCGCCCAGCGGAGAGGTCGTGCTGGCTGCATCTCTGGCTGGAGCTGCGAAGGTTTGGTATGTTGCACCGGGGGAGCGCCTCTGCATGCGGAAGGCCCGCGATGTCGACTGCACGTAAGAGTGACCTTTCTCCGCAGGGACCTCTGGTGCGGGCCCCATGGGGTCCCCCGATCGCCGAACGTGAAGCGGTACGTAGCAGCGGCCTGCGCGCCCAGGTTTGGCCACCCCCTCGTCCCCCGCGAAAGCGCGCACCAGAGGTCACTCTTGCCCAGGGTCACTCCTGCGTGTCGCCGACGACGGTTCGCTGCACCCTGCGGTGCGCTCCACACTCACGGGTCCACGACTGGTGCCCCCGCCGTGGCGACCCGCGACACCTCGGCCGTCCCGCCAGCGCAGAAGCGAAGCCGCAGGGTGGACGCGCACGGACAGCCGTCGAGCTGGGCCCAGCGGTGGCGATGGCAGCACCTCCAGGATCTCCCGAGCCACCTCCGAAACGAAGGCGACGTCGGCAACGAGGAGGAGGAGGAGGAGGAGGAGGAGGAGGAGGAGGAGGAGGCGGAGGAGAAGGAGGAGGACGACGACGGGGAAGACTGCGGAGTTAGCGGGAGGAAGGGGGGAGGTGGGAGGTGAGAGGGGGCGGAGGAGGAGGGGGGCGAGCTACTTGCTTCAAGTTGCCTGCGGCAAGCCCCGCCGCCGTGCCTGTTCAACAACGCAGCAGGAAGGAAGTTGAAGTTATGTGCAGCTTCATTCCGCCCGAGCGGTCTGATCTGAGGCAGGTCGCAAACGCGACCTCGTCTTCGCCCGTGCGGTGGGAAGGATGCTGAGTTCACGTCCTGCAGCAGTTTCGTGAGCTGCCTGAATTTGGGTGGGTTTTAAACTCGACGTCTTTGTCCGCTGGGCGGGGAGGAAGTCGAGCTCTCACCTCACCAGCATTTCAGCGAGTGGTCTGACCCCCCTCTGAAGTTTTCTGTTCTTGCTAGCTGGCCGCTCTGCGGTTGATCGGGAGTTTCTGTATATGGAAGAAGGGGCGTGTGCTTGTGCTCGACGACGATTGTGAGAATGAGCGGGCGGCGGTGGTGCGGCGGGTGAGGATCAGGAGGCTGAGGATCAGGAGTGTGAGGCTCACGAGCTGGAGGTCCCTGGAGGTCCTCCTCCTCCTCCTCCTCCTCCTCCTCCTCCTCCACATTCTCGCTCGCTCCTCCTCCTCCTCCTCTCCTCCCGCCTCCGTCCTCCCTTCTCTGTCCTCCTGCGTCTTTCTCCCTGCTCATCCTTCTCCTCCTCGTGCTCGCCCTCGTGCTAGTCCTCGTTTTCGTCCTCGTCCTCGCCCGGTGCGCCCGGCGCGCCTGGCGCGCTCGGCGCATCGCCGGATTTGGTCTCTGGGGGTGCGCTGGGGGCCCGCGGGGCGAGTTTGCGAGGATGTCTCGAGCGAGGGCGCCGGATCGGGACACGCTCGGCGCGCCCGGCGCGCCCGGCGCATCGCCGGATTTCGTCCCTGGGGGTGCGCTGGGGGCCCGTAGGGCGATTTCGCGAGGATGTCTCGAGCGAGGGCGCCAGATCGGGACACGCTCGGCGCGCCCCGCGCATCGCCGGATTTCGTCCCTGGGGGTGCGCTGGGGGCCCGTGGAGCGACTTCGCGAGGATGTCTCGAGCGAGTGCCAGATCGGGACACGCCCGGTTCGCACAGCGCGCACGGCGCACCGCCGGATTTGGTCCCTGGTTGTGCGCTTAGAGGCGTGATGTGAGTTCCACAGAAACTCTCTCAATTTATCTTACTCCTCCCCTTTCGGGGGACCTGTTTAGGACCTTCCTCGGAGGGGCTTGTTTTCGGGTCTTGAGGTCGAGATGGGACATGGCACCGAATCTGCCTCCGAATCTTCTCCGAAGAGGTAGGCAGTTTTTTTGTTGTTGGGCGGTCGCAATGAAGGGGAAGGTCGATCTTGGAAAGCACAGTCGTCTTGCCTGCGCGGAGTGGGCGTGCTAGAATACTCTTCCGTTGGCTCCCCCCTCGCTCGCCCCTCCTCCTCCCTCCTTTTCCTCCTCCTTCCTCCTTCGTCCTTGTCGCCCCTCGTCGCCTCTCTCAAGCATCGACCCGCGGACCTGTCCACGACTGCCTTCCGGCCAGCATTTCCAGGCCGATCCAGCGGTGGACTCTCGGGTCGGGCGAAAGGGGGGGATTGGGAAAGGGGGGGTTACGAAATTTGCTGCATGCAGCTGGTTTCGGCCTTACCGAGGGGCCCATGCCTCGATACATGGGCGCCTCCGGCGCCGGGAGGCGCCGGGAAAATCAGCTACGCGAGCTGATTCTCACCCCCCCCCCTTTGCTATCCCCCCTTTCGCCCGACCCGAGACACGAGGAGGCCCGAGACACGAGGAGGCCCTCGCCGCCGTCCCCATCGCCCTCGCCGCTCTCGTCGCCGCCGCCCTCCCCCTCCAAGAGGGCGGGGGGGTGGGGTGGCGCCGCCGCGCCTGGAGCCCCGTCTCGGGGGGCCTCGTCGCGCCCTCGTCGGCGCCCCCCTCGCCCTCGTCGCGCCCTCGTCGCCGCCCCCCTCGCCCTCGTCGCGCGCCCTCGCCGCCGCCCCCCTCGCCCTCGTCGCGCCCTCGTCGCCGCCGCCCTCCTCGCCCTCGTCGCGCCCTCGTCGCCGCCCCCCTCGCGCCTCGCCGCCCTCGCCGCCGCCCCCCTCTCGCCCTCCTCGGGGGGCCGGGGCCGCGCCGCCGCGGCAGACGCACGCCGCCGCGCCCCTGCTGGCCGCTCTGGGGGAGCTGCTGGCCACGGACGAGGCCGCCGCCGCCGTCGGGGAGGGTCGGGGGTCGAGGAGAGTCGATCCGCCCCGATCCGCGAGGAAGGAGGATCGAGGACCGAGGAGGATCGATCCTCGACCGAGGGGGATCGAGCATCGAGGAGGATCGAGGAGGATGGAGCTTCGATCGAGGAGGATCGGGCATCTGGGGAGGATCGAGGAGGATCGATCCTCTATCGAGGAGTTTCGAGGATCGAGGAGGATCGAGGGTCGGGGAGGATCGAAGAGGCTCGAGCCAGATTTTGTGTAGTTGCTTGTTTTGTTCGGTTTGCGCGTTTCCCATCAACTTCGGCCTCTGGGGACCCTTCTCGTGTCCCGAGGCCATCATCAAGTTGACCCGTGGCGACAACCTGCGACTGGGGAAGGGATCGAACCCCCTGGGTCCCACGGGCTGAACAAACCTCTACATCGGACGTCTGTGGATCGAGGTGGATTTTAGTTTTTTGAGGGCCCGCGCTCCCCGTTCTTGAGGATCACCCAGGGTTATCGGGTCCTGCCCCCCTCTTCCACCTGGTAGCACAATCTTGTGCAATGGGCGGGGTGCGGTGTCCGAGATGTGTGTGTGTGTGTGTGTGTGTCCCGTGGCTGGATGTCGTACATGATCGGGGATCGAGGATGATCGAGCATTTATGCTTAGTATCATTGTCCTTGCCTTTGCCAGTACGCCTAATCATGTTAGTCATGGGTTCATCGTATCGTATTCGGATGTCTGGTCCTAGCGTGGACCCCTAAACAGAGGGTTCTTGCAATCTGGGTGTGCAATCTGCGTGGCACGTGGTGCATCATCAATGCGTGTACCTCTCCCTCGATCTACACATCGAATGGCCTTCGGCCCATCCCGCCACCGTGCCTGGGTTGTGGGTCATAGGCCTCTAGGATGTTCGTTCGGATGTCGCGGGGGCCTCTCGGGGGCCTCGTGGAGGCAGTTTGAGGCCTCTATGGGGACCTTTCTGGGGCCTCCCAGGTCGTTTTGAAAAGCCTTTTGGGGGCCTCTTTGGGCCTCCTGGGTGCATCTTGCGACGGACGGCTCGGATTGTAGGTCGGGGCTCCCGCTCTTGGGCCCCTCTTGGGGCCGTCTTGGGGCTCTCGTGGGCCGTCTTGGGTGCCTCTCGGGCCGTCTTGGTGCCCTCTTGGGCCGTCTTGGGGGGCCCTCTTGGGGGCCCCTTGGGCCGTCTTGGGGCGGTGTTGGGGGCCTCCTGGGCCGTCTTGGACACTGCGAAAGCTCAAAAGCCGTGTATGCAAAACACGTGCGTTTTACAAAGGGAATGGGGCGATGTGCGCCTCATGGGGCCCTCTTGGGGGTGCTCTTGGAGGCCTCTTGGTGCGTCTGGGGCGCGTTTTTGGCCGACAGCCGACCAGAGGCCATCTTCGTCGTCTTGACCGATCCTTCGGCGATTCGGGGCCCTCTTGGGCCGTCTTGGAAGCCTCTTATGGCCGTCTTGTCCCGTTTTGGGGCCTTCTCGGGCTCGAGCAAGTCGTGCGACAAGACGCCCCTGGGCCCAGAGGGCGCGCGCCAAGCCTCAAGAGATTTGGGGTCTCGGGGGTCCAGGCCTTATAAAGATCATCCGGACTGAGGGCTGAGGCCCAGGGGATTGAGCACGTGACCAGAGGGCACGCAAACTCGTGCTTCAGGGCACGGTGCCCGAGGACTCGGGGGGCCACCTGGGCAGGCTCGAGCAGCCAGGCCACCCGATTCCAAGATGCCTCTTCGAACGTCGCCACCCTGCACCCACGCGGAGAGGCCCTCGCGGCCACGCGTGGTTCTTTCGCCCTGATGTTTGGGCGAGGTTCAGTTGCTCGAGCTCGACTGCCACCACTGATGTTGGGCACGGTTCAACTGCTCGAGCTCGACTGCCACCACTCTTCTCTAGATGTTGTGTGTGTGCGTGTGTGCAGGAGGGATGCTCCCTGGAGTGCGCTGTACGCCACGGCGTCCACTGCCACATGCTCGGGGGCTGCGCGGATTCAGATGGCCAGCACGGGTGCCAAGAGTGGGTCGCGAATAGCCTTGCCTACCAAATGAAGAGTGCGCACCACGTATCTCCTTGGCCGACGGCAGCCGCAGGACACTCCGTGACGTTGCAGCGCGGCCTCGGGGTGGTTAGCGCCCACGCCCCCACTGAGGCCAGCCCCGCCCAAGGTCAAGGTTGAGTTCCGGGACTCCTTGACCACGGTCGTGCTCGACTTGTCGGGGGCGGAAAAGGGGGGGGTGATGACTAGGGGGGTGTGGATATCATGGCGGGGGCCATGATATTTCCCCAGATTTCATGGCGCCTCTTCTTATTTCATTACGTCCCTGGCCTCCCCGCTGGGCCGCGCACATGCCGCCGGTCATGATTTGCACCCCCCCCTCTTGGACACCCCCCTCTTTGCCGCTCCCGAACCACGGTCGTGCTCGACTTGCGCCCGCAGCCCCCTTCTCACATGGTTCTGGCCAGGCTCGACGCCAACGGGCATGTCCAAGAGCACGGCGACGTGATGGGCCCACGCGATTTTGAACCAATCGCGGACAACGGCAGCTGCTTGGTGAGCCGCCACGTTACGTGCGCCTTGCTCGCCGCCACCACGTTCCAGGATGCTGGATGCACGTGGCGTTCCAAACACAGGACCGCCGCCTGGATCGACTACACCCTCCTCGACATCAGCCTCGCCTCGATCGAGTCCCGCGTGCTCCCAGAGGTCGTCCTCTCCTACACTCCGTCGGAGGACCACCATCTGGTAACGATTGCTGTCGAGGTTGCGGGTCACGACGGTGCCTGCGTCGACCAGCCGCGTCCGGTCTCACGGATTAACCAGGCGAGGTGTGCTGACGCTACGTGCTGCCAGAACTTCCACAATAAGATTTGGCAGTTCACCACCTCCTTCCCAGGAGACCCCGAGCAGCACGCGGCTGAGCTCACTGACTTTGTGCACTCTGCCGCCCTCGAGTCGTTCGGCACCGTCAGGGATGTCCCGCGCAAGCCCTGGATCTCATCGTCTACGTGGTGCGTGGTCCGTGGTCTAGCCCCGCTGCGCCGCGCTGCTGGCGTGGCCCGTGCCTAGGCCACCGTTGCCCTATTGCACGCTGCCCGGTGTGCCTGGGCGAGCCTCGCCCCTGGTGGGCTTGTCCCTGGACGGCAGCGTGGCTGCCGTGGTGGCCTCGGACGGCGCGCTGCTGCGCGAGGCGCCAGGGCCCGTCGCCAACTTCACGTCCTCCGTCTCGCTTCTGCTGCTGCGCGTCGCGCCGCGGCAGCAATACAGCGCGCTATCCAGCCAGCTGTCAATGCTGATCGCCGCGACTTCATTGAGACCAAGGCCATCGAGGCCCGCGACGCCCACGCTAGAGGCGACACTCGGACCACGTACGCCGTCCTGCGCGCTCTCGGCGGCCGCTTCACGACGCGGCAGCCGCGGCATGTCTTGATAAAAGGGTGATTCTCTCAGTACCTCTGAGGGCGAGCGGCAACAGCGGTGGCTTGAGCATTTTCCCGACGTGTTCAGCGGCGCACCCATGTCGCCCGATGGGCTACACTCTATCCCTGTCGCCTCGTCGATCACCGACCATCGCGTTCGCATCACCACTACACGCGTCGTGGGGAGCCCTTGGACGCCGGAAGTGCAACCGCGGGACTGGCTGGGACGGCATCCCAGCAGAAATACTTTGTGCTGGCGGTGGCACCATGGCGGCCAAGCTCTCCGACCTACACCAGTTCGTGTTCGGCCTCGAGCTGTGGCCAACCAGCTGACCAGGCAGCCGCGTCGTCGAGTGTCTGCAAAAAGAAGGCTCCAAGCAGGATTGCGACGAGCACAGGGGATTCCACTTAGAGCCCGTTTCTTTCTTGCTTGGGGCATGACGGGCGTCATTGCCCCCGCTCCCCCCCCCATGACGTAACGCTCCCCCCCAGTCGGCTCTGGGCACTGCCGCCGTGCGCACTGGGATCCGCGTGGGTGTCCGCGTAGGACTCCGCATAGGAGTCTGGTCCGCAGTCGTCGTCGTCGTCGTCGTCGTCGTCGCTCGTGGCTCGTCGCTCGTCGCTCATCGTCGTCGTGCGCGCGGACGCGGCTGGAGCCTGTTTTTTATTCTGGGCCGACGACGGCAATCATCAGGGGGGGAGGGGGTCGATCACATGACGTTTCGCGCCGGCGGCGTTTGGGATTCCTTAGGAATGACGGAGGACGGGTAGCACCAGCATGTAGGTGGCGACCTGCACCACAACGCGTGTGTACACCACCGGGACTGCGTGCACCACAGCGCCTGTGTGCACCACACCGCCTATGTGCACCACAGCAGCCGCGTGCAACACAGCGTCAGTTTGTGGCACCGTGCCTGCGGGCACAACAGCTCTTGTGTACACCACAGCACCTGCGTACACTACATCAGCCGTGTGCAACACAGCACCAGTTTACACCACAATGCCTGCGTGCATTGCAGTGCCCGTGTACACCACGGCGCCTGTGTGCACCACAGCAACCGTGTTCAACACAGCTTCACTGTTGAATGTAGAATGTTAGAAAGAATCCTTACGACAAAATGGAGCGCCTGAGGATTCCATAGGAAACAATTGAACGGAAGCCTTATTGACACGGGAGCGCCGCTGGAATCTACAAGTCCTCCCGAGTCCGCCCGCATCACCCTAACTCCTACCATCTGCTTCCGGGAAGCTCCAGCTAAATTGGCCGTCCGAGAACCAAGTGGACCGATTCAATCGACCATTCTGCGGTGCACGCTGAGATGCGCACATGCGCTGCAGCGCCAACCCTCACGACAGGGGGTAAGGAGGAGGAGGAGGAGGAGGAGGAAGACGAGGAGGAGAAGGAGGAGGAGGAGGAGGTGGATGGGGGAGGGGGGAGGGAAAAACGTCGCATTCGATTATCAACATTTTCTTGGCGTGGCGTTTAGTTGTCCGCAGCAGATCCTCACGTACATGCGCCTTCTACTTGTCCTGAGCACGCAGGCGCTGTGGTGTGCACCAGCGTTGCGTTGCACGCGGATGTTGTGGT